CTCCTCGGAAGGGACGCCCAGCAGGGAGCCAGTGACTTCAGGCAGCTGGACCCCTAAGTCTGAGGAAACCATCCATTCCACCATGGATTCCCAGAGGCTGAGCGTCCTTATCACTCCTACCCCTGACACCCAGGAAGCCACCAGGAGGCAGGCGGTGGGGCTGCTGGCCTTCCTTGGCCTCCTCTTCTGCCTGGGGGTGGCCATGTTCGCCTACCAGAACCTCCAGGGCTGCCCTCGGAAGATGGCGGGAGAGATGGTGGAAGGCCTTCGCTACGTCCCCCGGAGCTGTGGCAGTAACTCATATGTCCTGGTGCCTGTGTGAACTCCCCCGGCCTGGGTCTAGTTGTTTGACTCAGACAGCTGCCTGGGGTCCCTCATCCTCATACCCACCCCCACCTAAGGGCCTGGCCTGAGCTGGGATGATTGGAGCAGGGAGGTGGGACCCTCCAGGTGCACAGGCTCCAAGCTCCCAGGCACACCCCAGGAGGCCAGCCTTGACCACTCTCCACCTGCCAGGGACAGACGGGGTGGCCTCCCAACTCACCCCAGCCCCCAAACTCTCCTCTGCTGCTGGCTGGTTAGAGGTTCCCTTTGACGCCATCCCAGCCCCAATGAACAATTATTTATTAAATGCCCAGCCCCGCTGACCCACGCAGCCCTGTGAGTACCGCAGGCCTCCCAGCTCACACATGAGCCTCAGGCCAGGCCCCTCTGCCCACTCCCCCAGGCCTCATCGTGTCTCCTGGTCCTGCTGCGGTTGCCAGTCACCCCGGCCACCTGCGGTGCTATCTCCCCCAGCCCCGTCCCTCTGTACAGAGCCCACACCCCCACTGGTGACGTGTCTTTTCTTGCATGAGGCTAGTGTGGTGTTTCCTGACACTGCTCCCAGTGAGGCTCTGCCTTCGGTAAGGCATTGTGGGAAGGGGAGATGAGGCCATCTGGTGGCTTTGACAACTGGTGGCTTTCCTCCTTGGCCTACCCTGTGCTGAGTCTGAAGGCTGGGTTCTGATCCTAGTTCCACTGTCAGCCCACAGAGTTACTCCCATCTGTGAAAGGAAAGAGGGGGGCAAGGAATACCCGTCCCCCTGACATCGCTCATTGACCTGAAGCCCTTCTCTCCAATCCCGGATGCAGCCTCCCAGTCCTTATCAGCAGAGCACTTGAGTTCCTCCCGATGGACTAATTTGTCTTTGGACCCTGAGACCCGGAGGGCCTTTAAGGGAGTGAGTTGATAGCACAGATCCTGCTCTGTGGGTCCCCAGATGGAGGTGGGCAGAGCAGAGACCATCCCTGAAGGCCCCGCCCAGGTTCAGCCACTGAGACAGCCCGAGCTCTGCCTCCCCTCACCCCCTAAGAGGGAGAAGGGAGGGCTCCAGGCACGTGTCTAAGAAGCCCAGGAAAGGCTCCGGGAACAGCCACACTCCTGACGCTCCTTCAGGGACTCCCACAGGCAGCCAGGCCTTGAGACCCTTGTGGTCCCACCCCACACATGTCAGATTCCTTCCTGAAGCCTGGGTTCCCCTCCCACCTCTCTCACTCCTTGAAAACACTGTTCTCTGCCCTCCGAGACCTTCTCCTTCATCTTTGTCCCCACCGCAGACAGGACCAGGGATTTCCATGATGTTTCCACAAGTCCTCTGTTTCTGAAAGGGACTCTACCCGGGAAGGACGGTGGGACACGGGAAAGGGGAAGTTGTAGGCATAAAGTCAGGGCTTCCCTTTTTGGGCTACTGAAGGCTCAAGCATGCCTGGATGGGGTCGCACCTGCCAGCCTGGCCCCTCAGGGTCCCTCGTGGCAGCTCACCTCTCCCTTGGATTGTCCCCAAATGTGACCCTTGCCCTCTACCTAAGGAGCCTCTTGTGGGCTGGATTCTACCCAGGTGCCAGGAACACTCCTTCACAGAAGATGGGTGGTTGGAGGAAGGAAACGCAGCTCTGGTCCACAGAGAGCAGGCAGCTGTGCGGCCCTGCCCACCGGCCTCTGCACTCCCTTGCTGGGCATGGCGCAATATATTCAGGAAGCTCAGGGAATGGCTCAAGTGGGCTCACTCTGGCAGCTCAGAGAGGGTGACAGTGGATCCGATGCACTTTGTTCTAGCTCTTCCAGGCTGGGAGAGCCTTCCAGGGGTGGGGCACCTGCTGATGGGGCCCCGCCTCCTTTGTGAGGAAGCTGCTGGGGACAGCTGGTCCCCCTTCCATGGACATTGTTAGTTTCTCCAAGCGGAACATGGATGAGGATGATGTAGGAAGACTTTGGAAAGGATGGATTGATCCTTTGACTTTTCCAACCCTCATCACCAATGTCTGTGCCGTTTTGTATTTTACTAATAAAATTTAAAAGTCTTGCGAATCAATGCAGATTATTTCTCTGGGTACAAGTCCAGCAACCAGGGCCTCAGGGGGTAAGGAGCTGGGGAGGGCCAAGACCACTTTCAGCCCTGGAGACCCCTGCCTCCAGTTCACCTGGGGAAGAAGGGCAGAGATTTTTTTTTTCTTTTTTGAGATGGAGTCTCGCACTGTCACCCAGGCTGGAGTCCAATGGCGCCATCTCGGCTCACTGCAACCTCTGCCTCCTGGGTTCCAGCAATTCTCCAGGCAGAGATTTTTACAGTCATCAAGAGGAGAAGCACCAGGATTGGAGTGAGGAGGGCCAGGCCCTTGGTTCGGCTCTGTTCCACTCAGCTGTCTGATGTTGGGCCAGGGCCCTCACCTCTCTGGGCCTGTATAAATGTGAGTGTGAGGCCTCTCTTATCTGACAGGATCAGAATCCCTCTGAAGCCCTACCCCATGCCTGCTGAACCACCGTGCCCGGGGCCCTGGGACCACCACTGTCAGTGAACTAGGCCCCATTGAAGGAAGGAAACTGGCCCATACTTTCCTCTTTGCAGCCTTCCTGGTTCAGATGAAGACCAAAGACGGATTACTTCTTAAGGGACTTGGGAGTTCACAGATGTGACCCAAGTGTGAGCCTCCTGGTGGCCCCTAAGCCCTTCAGAGTCCTGGGGGGCTTCATAAGAGCTGCTGTGTATAGTTGTGCAGGTTGGAGACTGCAGAAGGCTGCCACAGACCAAGTCCAGCCTATTAATATCCAATATTTCATGGATGTTAAGATGCATCCTTTTCACACTGTGACATGTTTGCAATTGAGATTCATTTTGTAATCCATAGCTTGTTGTTGCTAAATTGGCAGGCTTTTTTTTTATTAGTAGTTTATTAAATATCAGAACATCTTACCATCAATAGATTGGTATGTCTACATGACCAAGGGTATGTCTTAGACTCAATATCTACGTGAATCTAAGATGCTATTTTTTTTTAAGATGGAGTGTTTAGTCACTCTGTCACCCAGGTTGGAGTGTAGTGGCACCATGTCGTCTCACTGCAACCTCCATCTCCCGGGTTCAAGCGATTCTCCTGCCTCAGCCTCCAGAGTAGCTGGGATTATAGGCATGCGCCACCATGCCTGGCTAATTTTTGTATTTTTTAGTAGAAATGGGGTTTCACCACATTGGACAGGCTGGTCTCGACCTCCTGACCACCTTGTAATCTGCCCGCCTCAGACTCCCAAAGTGCTGGGATTACAAGTGTGAGCCACTATGACAGGTTAAGATGCTAATTTTTAAAAAATTAGAGGCAACATTGAAAAATCAGGAAATTGCACACATAAACTCACTTTCCTATGTTCCGTCAGGTGATTCAGAAGATTCAGATTCACCACTGGCCCATGCACATCCAGGGTGACAGTGGGCTGGTCCAGGCAGCAGCTGCCATTTGAGATAGAGCAGGCTTGGGTCAGCCCTCCCGTTTCCTACCATCCTCTCCACCTCCTGGATCTCCTAGACCTTATGTCCACATCAGTTACCATTTCTTGTTTTTCTTATAGTGAGGATATTTTTATCTGAGCCCAAGTTTCCATCAAAAGTAGGTCAAGGGCTGGGTGTGGTGGCTCACGCCTATAATCCCAGGGCTTTGGGAGGCTGAGGTGGTCGGAGCACTTGAAGTCAGCGTTCGAGGCCAGTCTGACCAACATGGTGAAACCACATCTCTATTAAAAATACAAAAATTAGCCACATGTCGTGGCAGACCCCCGTAATCCCACCTCCTTGGGAGACTGAGGCAGGAGAATGACTTGAACCTGTGAGGCAGAGGCTGCAGCGAGCCAAGATCGTGCCACTGCACTCCAGCCCAGGCGACAGTGAGACTCCGTCTCAAAAAAAAAGTAGGTCAAGGAAAGCCACACCATGATGGGCACATGCTTTCTCTCCTACCCTGCTGGCCCTCGCTTCACTACCTGCTAAACCTCACAGAGATTCGGGCCTGCAGAAATCAATCTGCCTCTGTGCAATTGAGAGCCAGTACCTACTGGCTGTCCTCTCTGCAGTGAGCTTCCCCTGCTCTGCCCCAAACTCAGGCTTGTGTAGTTTTCGCCCCTTCCCACCCCCAGGAAGGAGCTCCACCTACCGCAGGCCTGGTTCCGGCTCCCAAACTCTCCCTGCATACCACCCACCAGCAACACAAGACACCAGCAGAAGCTTTAAAATGAAAAAATGTGTCTCTTATCTTTTCATCACATTCTTAGGTACAATTGCAACCTTCTCAGCAGGCTGAGGATGAGAAGCGGGAGTGGGAGAGGCTTGCATTCCGGCTCAGTCCAGAGCGGTTCCCCAGGGACCCCGGAGTGTTTGTGTAGTTTTATTTCCTCTTTCACTTTCAGAGCTAAATGTTAGTTGAAGCCTTCTCACAATTAATGCAGAGTTTGGAGGGGGCCATTTTGATATAACATTAGCTATATAATAACAGTAGACATTGTTCATGTAATGTTTACAGTGTACCAGGCCATGTGTGAAATTATGTACAGGGATTCCCATCTTACTGACAATGAAAGCAAGGGCCTCACATTGGGCGTGGTGGCTCACGCCTGTAATCCCAGCACTTTGGGAGACTGAGGCAGGCAGATCACTTGCACCCAGGAATTAGAGACCAGTTTGGGCAACATGGTGAAACCCTATCTCTATAAAAATACAAAATTAGCCGGATGTGGTGTCGTGCACCTGTAGTCCCTGTTACTTGGGAGGCTGAGGTGGGAGGATCACCTGAGCCCAGGGAGGTTGAGGCTGCAGTGAGCCAAGATCATGCCTGTGCATTCCAGCCTGGACAAGAGAGCAAGACCCTGCCTCAAAAAAAAACAAATGGAAAAGAAAAGAAACAGAAGAGAGAGAGAGAGAGAGAGAGAAAGAGGGAGAGAGAGAAAGGCTGTGGGGACATGTGACTTGCTCAGGGTGACACAGCTTATAAGCAGCAGAGCAGGGATAGAACTCAAGGTCTTTCCCCAGAACTCAGCCTTAGCATTACAGAGAAAAGTGTGAGATACAGTCTCAAAAGTACAGGCTCCTGAGCCCCACTTCTGACCTGCTGAGCTCAGGCTCCAGGTGTGGGAGTCGCCCCTTCCAGCTGCACCACCCTCCCACCCCCACCCCAGCCTCCTTCCCTCTCCTCTTCCTCAGTCCACCCTGCACTGCCTCCAAATTAGGGGATTTGATGCCTGGCCAAAGTTTTGGAGCCCACTGTACCGGATCACAGGCCCCCACTCCGCAACGTTCTCAGGCCCTCTCGGGAGTTAGCTTCCCTGAACTTCTCACCCTCTGATCTTTGCCGTTGAGTCCCCTCTCCCTCCCTAGTGTCCTCTGTACATTCCCCAAAAGGGTGAGGCCAGACAGAAAAACACAGGAATGAATGGCTGGGAATTTCCAGCTTGAGGCTGAATAACAGGCTCCAGGAAGGCATGGTGTATGTGTGTGTATTGTGTGTATGTATTCATGTAGTGTGTATGTGCATTTTGTGTATGGGTGTAGTGTGTGTGGTGTATGTATGCGTGTGTAATATTTGTATGTGTGTAATATGTGTATGTGTGTGCTGTGCATATGTGCATTGTACATATGTGTAGTATGTATATGTGTGTCATGTGTGTATGTGTGTGTTTATGTGTATGTGTGTATGCATGTGTATGTGTGTACTGTGCATGTGTGTGTATTGTGTGTATGTGTAGTGTGTAGTGTATGTATGTGTGTATATGTGTATGTGTGTGTACTGTACATGTGTATGCATTATATGTGTAGTGTATATGTTTGTATGGTGTAGTGTATGTATGCATGTGTTGTGTATTCATGTGTATGTGTGTACTGTGCATGTGTGTGCATTGTGTGTATGTGTAGTGTATATATGTGTGTATGCATGTAGTGTATGTATGCATGCATTATGTGTATATGCATGTGTATGTGTGTATGCATGTGTATGTGTGTACTGCACATGTGTGTGCATTGTGTAGTGTACATGTATGTATGTGTGTAGTGTATGTATGCATGTGTTATGTGTGTGTACTGTGCATGTGTGTGCACTGTGTATATGTAGTGTATATGTGAGTATGTGTGCAGTGCATGTGTGCATGTGTTATGTGTATGTGCATATGTGTGTATTGTGTACTGTGCATGTGTGTGCATTGTGTGTGTGTAGTGTGTGCATGTGTTTGTATGAGTGTGTATAGTTTATTTATCTGTGTATTTTGCATACATGTGTATATGTGTATATGTGCATTCTGTGTGTGTGTGTGTATGTGCTCTGCATGTGTGTATCTGTGTATGTGTCTGCATGCCCAGCTCCTCCCAGATGTACGTAAGTGCTCAGGAGACCACCCGTGCCCTGTTCACTTCTGGTCAGTCATGTGCTTTCCTGGATAATGATTAAGCTGCAAAGACTTAAGATCCAGTGCCAAGCTGGCTTTCCTGAGCTGGCCGGCAGCAAAGTTCAGCGGCTGGAACCCATGCAGGATTGAATCGTGCCAAGTTGGGGTGGGGATTGTGCCTCTGAACCCAGGAGAATTCCAGAGCAGCACATGTTTGGAGGAGATGCCCCTCTCTTAACTTCAGGGGATCCCGTTGTCCCCAGAGGACAGAATAGGATTATTTGCAATGAGTGGTTTCTAGCAATGCAGGAGCAAAGCGTAACATGGGACTCTCAGACTGTGTGACTTTGGGCAGGTTACTTAATGTCTCCGGGTCTTGGTTTTCCCTGTTGTAAAATGGGAATAATAACAATTCATCTCAGGGGTGAATATATCATGAGATAATCCTTAAAGATGTAGAAAAATGACATTCTCATAGTGAGCTCTTAGTAAACTGAACCTATGATCGTGCAATAGATATTTCCAAAGGGTCTGAAGTAACCTATTTCTATTTGATTTTGTTATTGGGTACCCAAACAAGACTATAGAATTATATGATATCTATAAAGAAATGCCGTCTTCTTGGTTTTCAGTAAAGTAGGGTGAAGAAATATAATGGCATCATTAAGCAG